ATGTAATTTTAAAACTAGGATTTATGTGACAAAATGTATAATGCTTTTTCATTCTCATTTACTGCCTGGATCTCCTGAGGTAACAGACTAAGGAAGGTTAGTAATTAGCATCAATATAGGCTCTCATTATGTGCATTAGATTCATTTTTCTTGCAGATGGATGATACAAGGTGATTCAACAGAGGTGGAGATTACCATGGACTTGATTATGGGAGCATCAGGAGTTGCTTTGCTTAGGTCTGGGTGGGGAAGTGCAAAATGGTTGTCACCTCTGACTTCAATGCTTATAACCACCACAGAACTCTTGGCTTTCTTTTTTCTTCTTAAACAAACCTGTGTGCATGTGCCCAAATAATTATGGGCTAGATTGTGATTTGGGCTACATGGGATAAAAGGGGAGAGAAAGGGGGGTATGTCTACACTACCCCGCTAGTTCGAACTAGCAGGCTAATGTAGGCATACCGCACTTGCAAATGAAGCCCGGGATTTGAATTTCCCGGGCTTCATTTGCATAAGCGGGGAGCCACCATTTTTAAAACCCCGCTGGTTCGAACCCCGTGCAGCGCGGCTACACGGGGCACGAACTAGGTAGTTCGAACTAGGCTTCCTCGTGAAATGAGGAGTAACGGTAGTACGAACTAGGAAGCCTAGTTCGAACTACCTAGTTCGTGCCCCGTGTAGCCGCGCTGCACGGGGTTCGAACCAGCGGGGTTTTAAAAATGGTGGCTCCCCGCTTATGCAAATGAAGCCCGGGAAATCAAATCCCGGGCTTCATTTGCAAGTGTGGTATGCCTACATTACCCTCCTAGCTCGAACTAGGAGGGTAGTGTAGACATACCCGGGGAGAGGTGAGCTAATTCACAGGCAGTGTTTAATGTGCTGCAAGGATAGGCCTACAGCATCTACTGCAACTCTCATTCCCTCCACAGAACAAGCAGGAAACAAGAAAGGAATTGTACTGGGAAGTGTTTCCGTGTCACAGAGCTTCCCAAGATGCCTACCCCTTGCTCAGAGATGTGTTTAAAATCAGAGATTGAGATCTTCAGGAGTTGTAGCTTCACTGAAATCCATGGAACTACACTGCTCTATCCTAGCTTAACATCTGGTCTATAATGTAAATTTTCACTTAAATTTATATATGTATAATATAAAAAAAGACTTTTTGCAATTTTTAGGTACAGCATGCAAAATATTCTGTATATAGCATACAAGGGTTTGTTCATCGTGGAACAAAAATCTAAATTATGCTTTGTTATGTATAAAGAATACAAGCCAGCAATGAAGCTGCCTGAAATTTTCTTTCTCTAGGGCTACGCTACACTGCTATTGTGGAAGAGTTATTCTGAAATAGCTTATTTTGAAATAGCATGTCTACACTGCAGGGGAACCTCAAAATTAGTCCGAGGCAGGTTTCCCTAATGTAGATGGGCTATCTCGATTTAGAGCCCCAGGAGGAACTTAGAATGGCCCTGGTGAGGGATTATTTCAAAATAACAGAAGTGGAACATTTACACACACTTTATTTTGAAATAGCTACTTTGGAATAGGCGTTATTCTTCATAGAATGAGGTTTACAGAAATTGGAATAAGCCATGCATTATTTCAAAATTATTTCAAAATAACAGAATTGCCTGGTATTTTGGTCATTATTCCGAAATAACTTTGCTGTGTAGACATACCCTAGAGGTGCTAGTTGACAGTGATCAAATGGATGTAGTTATAAAAATTCCTTCCACAAATATACATATCCTACTAAACCGAGGGCCTGGGAAGGAATTGGAATAGTAGGAAAATGAAATTATAGTCATTTACAAAAGCTACTTGCACTATTTGCTGGTGTATTTCTCCAAGTGCAAGGGGTTCATTTTTATATTTTAGTTTAATAATAAAGATGACTACAAGCAGAGCAAATGGTCCAAAGTGGGCTTCTCCCTGCTACCTAAAGCAGCATGAGTTTTGCCATTTGTTTCTATGATGACAGCATGAGTCCATGATTGCATCAAGGTTGGGAAGGAGAAGAAAAAAGCAATGTATTTAATTGTTTTTCACATGTAGAAATGTCATAGTCCACATTGCCAAGGGCACGCATGGGAACTGACTAGTCTGAAGTTAAACAGTATAAAGTAGGACTATAAACAGTAGAGGATAACAAATACAATATAACTAGGATCAAACTACAGTGCAGCCCTAATTCATAATTGGTGGAAGATGAAAGAAAAACATCTTGTTCTGTAAACACCGGACCTATCACCCACAAAACACTAACTCACATAGTAAATATATTACAAAACAAAGTTGCTTAATAAACAAAAACCATTCAGTATCAAAAAAGAAAGATGAATAAACCAGTCTGATGTGAGGCAGGCACTAGCAAGTCATCCTTAAGTGCCTGGTTTCCAAGGACTGTCACCGCACAGGTTTCCCTGGACAGCAGGGTTTTCAGTTCCCAGAAATCAACTATAACATTTGGCATTAATGAGATAACTGCCTACAGTTTTCAGTCACTTAAGACTCAGAACCGTGGCGATAATGACCTGATTATAAGTTCCCTGAGAATATATCTCCTAGCTCTGAAGCAGGACTGAATTCTGTAATATCAGTAGGTAGTTTTTCTCCAGAAAAGAGTTTGATAATTAAGCTTAAACAAGGCTTTCCAATCAAAAGGGAAATATATGCAGAGATTATTGTTTCTTTGAAAGTATACACTGCTAATATTCCTCACTACTTGCCCATGGAAAGACTGTCTTATCTCGTGTGAAGAGCTATCCATTTGTATAAGAGTCTTGAAAAACATATTTGGCTTCTAAGAAAGATAACTGAGCAAGCACTCAGGAAACAGTACCACTTATCTACGAACAGGGCCGGACTGAGGGGTGGGCGAGCTGGGCACCTGCCCGGGGCGCCGACTGATGGGGGGCTCCTGATGGCAGCCGTAAGAGGAGCGTGGCATCCCTTATAGCTGCCATCAGGCGCTGCACGCCTGGCTCCCGCAGTGCTGGCCAGCAGTGCTCTTCCCCCTGCGGCCACGGGGCCCTGCATGGCCTGGCGCGCCTGCCAACAGTGGTGGCCAGGCCGTGCCAGGCATGCGCTGTGCACCCTGGGGGCGGGCCCTGGGCTGCATGCCAGCGGTCGTGGCCGGCACGTGCATGCACCGTGTGTCCTCGTGGCGGGCCCAGACTGCGTGCTAGCA